AATTCACAGCTGATCAAGCAATACTACAACAAGCAAACATCTGTGACATCAAACAGATACCCTGTTGCTTTTTTAAGTGTAAAAATACCTCCATCATTTCTTGACGTCAATCTGGAACCCAACAAAACCAGTGTGATGTTGACAAACAAAGATGAACTGATGACAGTTTTAACTAACCTTGTAGACGAATTTTATTCTGATGAGAAAAACAGGCTTCCATCAAGTGATAATATTGACTGTAACAATGTTGCGGAAAAGAGGATTGCTGTTCTTGGTAAACTTGGTGACATCACAAACACTTGTAGCTTGAATGGAGAAGTGGCATCTTGTACTTCCAATAGCACAAGCAAGAAAAGCAATGCACAAAAAACATCCCTTCATTTGAACAGAAATTTAGTGCTGGAAGACATGCAATCACAAATTGATTTGGAACATGAAGTTGAACACACTCATGATGTGCAAGAGAAGACTACTGGTAGTAGTTCAGCAAGCTTATCTGATAAGAGTGGAACAGGAGAAAACAGCCTGAGTAATAAGAATAATTGTTTGATTACAGAGGAATCATCCTGCAGTCAAGGAGCGGTCCCAACCAGCCAAGTCAAAGATAGTTCTTCAAGTTCAGTTGTAGTGAAGACAGTAACTCCAGATCAAGAAGGTTGTTTACTTTCTTCCCTGCAGGATGACACAAGCAGGCCATCTCCAACAGACTCTTTACAATCTGTAGAGCTCTGTGAGACAATGAGGGACAAGACTTTATGTGAGACTAGCGAATCAATGTGTCATCTGGAGAATAACTTGTGTAATTCGTTGAAAGAGTCCCAAGGCAGTGGTGTCATAGAAAATGTTAATTGTGAGATTGGTAACAGCCTTTCAAATTTGAACAGTGATGCATGTAACAGCAACAAACTCAATGAACAATCAGCATCAAAAACAGTGAGCAGTGCAGAAAATGCAAATGTAGCTAACAACAGTGAAACACCACAAGGAAATCAGGAACTGTGTAAGAACAGGTCATTGGCTCGCACCCCGAACAAAAGTTGCCCACTAGAAAATATATTTTCATTAGACATAGATGATTTGTTTGAGGATTCCGACTTCGATCTCTCGGGTGTAAACTCCAACTTGAAAACACCAGGTACATCTAATCATGAGCGCAATTCAGAGAAGACTCCTCCTCCAGAATCGTCTTCCTCTGCCTTTGATCAGGGGACTACCTGTACGTCTGTTGTGAAATCTTCTGCAACAGTGGCAGTTTCATCTGAAACAACTGAGGCCCCATGTAGTGACAAGGAATGGAGCATGGGANTGTTGCGGAAAAGAGGATTGCTGTTCTTGGTAAACTTGGTGACATCACAAACACTTGTAGCTTGAATGGAGAAGTGGCATCTTGTACTTCCAATAGCACAAGCAAGAAAAGCAATGCACAGAAAACATCCCTACATTTGAACAGAAATTCAGCGTTGGAAGACACACTACTACAAATTGATTTGGAACATGAAGTTGAATACACTCGTGATGTGCAAGAGAAGACTAGTAGTTCAGCAAGCTTATCTGAAAATAGTGGCACAGGAGAAAATAGCCTGAGTAATACGAATAATTGTTTGAATACAGAGGAATCATTCTGCAGTCAAGGAACAGTCCCAACCAGCCAAGTCAAAGATAGTTCTTCAACTTCACTCGTAGTGAAGACAGTAATTGCAGATCAAGGTTGTTTATGTTTGTCCTTGCAGGAAGACATAAGCAGGTTGTCTCCAACAGACTCTTTTCAATCTGTAGAGCTCTGTGAGACAATGAGTGACAAGACTTTGTGTGAGACTAACAAATCAACGTGCCATCTGGAGAATAACTTGTGTAATTCATTGAAAGAGTCCCAAGGCAGCAGTGTCATGGAAAATGTTAACTGTGTGACTGGTAACAGGCTTGCAAATTTGAACAGTGGTGCATGTAACAGCGATGAACACAATGAAAAATCAGCATCAACAACAGTGAGCATTGCAGAAAATGCAAATGTAGCTAACAACAGTGGAACATCACAAGGAAATCAGGAACTCTGTGAGAACAGGTCATTGGCTTGCACCCCGACCAAAAGTTGCTCACTAGAAAATATATTTTCATTAGACATGGATGATTTGTTTGAGGATTCAGACTTCGATCTCTCGGGCATAAACTCCAACTTGAAAACACCAGGTACATCTAATCATGAGCGCAATTCAGAGAAGACTCCTCCTCCAGAATCGTCTTCCTCTGCCTTTGATCAGGGGACTACCTGTACGTCTGTTGTGAAATCTTCTGCAACAGTGGCAGTTTCATCTGAAACAACTGAGGCCCCATGTAGTGACAAGGAATGGAGCATGGGACGTGGAATTCTCGATAAGCAAGGAAATCCTGTGCAGGTATAACTATTCAGAGTGAGCAGCATTTGTTTTGTCATTTGCGTATCAATTAACCTGTAACTCCCTTAGAGTGCCAAATGGCACACAACATCATAACTGTGAATATTTGAGAGATTTCCATGATTTTTTGCCAGGGAAATTGTCTTGTGATGATGTACTCATTGAAGTAGGAAATTTGTGACCCCCTCCTATCTAAGACATTGTTGTCCACCCTGGGGAGTTTCCAGGTTCTTTTATTGAGATGCACATGGAATGCAAGACTTGTTTCACATCAAGCTATGCCATAAGAGTCAGACTGGCTAAATAAGCTATTGTTTAAGGGATAATTATACCTGTGATTTTTGAGAGTTTATCCTTGTTGGAAGTTTTTCAGTTTCACATTTTACAGCAATTTCTCTCAAAATGACTACCTCCTCCATACTGTAGCTGCTGATGTCAATCCTTAACTAGGCTGATCAGTGGGTTTCAAATAGTATATCCCAGTGAACATAGGCAGAGAGTCTTTATTTGCTGATTTGGAGAAATTTGCATTGCATCATTTCACTCCCCTTAGCAGTGCCCATCTGTTGCTCAGGTTCTCAACTGGGTTGATTAGCAGTCTTCCAAGATCTTGGATGAATGGGTACCTTGATACCCTTTAAGAGAAGAGTAAAACAAACAAGGGAATGCCCTTAACCCTAAAACAATAACAGCTGCTACACTATGATGACAAATGAGGAATTTGTGTCCTTTAACCTTTTTTTGAAAGCAAAAGAACACAACCATGATGTTTATAAGGTTATTTAGACATACATGTAGATCTAGTTTTTGTTGTTGTTTTTCACAGAAAAGAAGACTTGGATGATAATAGAGCAGTTTTCAATTTAGTGTCATAAAACCAAAACCAACCCAGTTACTTACCAATTAGACTATTCAGCCAATCTGAAACCATAGTAAAACCAAAACCAATTAAAAGTAATTGCCTGATTACTTTTGGCACTCAATTGAAATCTACTGTATGCTAAATCAGAGAGTTAACAAAAAACAAAAATATTCATTCTAATTGCTTTGCACCGTGTAATAGGCCCTTTACAGCAAAACCATCACATGGCCTACTTTATGACAGCCTGAATTTGTAAAAAAAAAAATATATGATTTGTTTAGGAAAAGTTGTTGGAGAGCAAGGCCTTGCTCTCCAGCAACATTTTCCATACAAATCCTCTAAGTTTTCCAAAAATTCAAACTGTCGTATTAACTTACTCTTTAATCCCAGGGGCCTCAAACTTGGCCATTTTGTTACTTTTGACATGCTTCTTCCATTTCTGGCATTCTTCAAGTTATAGCCTATAATATAAATTTATTTAAGAAAAAAATTTGGTCACATGACCCTAGCTGCAAAGGGCCTATTTATTTGTTCAGGGGACAGTCAAGTTTAACATGTCACATATGGGCAATAATTTACAGTAACAAATATACAATTTATATTGTCATTTCAGCCTGTTTCCTTGGTCACACCTGGACCTCCATGGCAAATCTCACTGAGCAAAACCCCTGTTTTACATGTACCTCTACACGGAAAGAGAAAACATTCATCTGATAAGGTACAGAAAAGATAAGTTGATAAATTAGTATATTATTCTTTTTTTATGAATAGAGTTCTCAGGGAGCAGCTTTTCTTCTTGTTATTGCTATGTCAAGAGTGGAAGCATTAAACATTTTTCTGAGTCTGTCTTAAGGTCATTCCCCAGTATTGCATTGCGCATCCCTACTGTGCATAATTTCACACGTGATTAGTGTGTGTGCATTAAAAAATGGCAGCTTTTTCTTTACAGCTGGACCTCGCCATAGTGATAAATCGTCATTTTCTCACAAACAAGTATGGTGACCAATCATTTTTTTCTGTTGTTTTGAATTGCGTAATAAATTTCTCTGTGTAAAGTAAATATGGACCAATTCTCAGCGTAGAACAAAAGCAATCGTTGTAAACATGAATTTAGCAAGCAATCGTGACTACAATCATGGTGCTATTATAAGGATTTATATGGGTATAAACAAGGTGCTGTTGCTATTAAACGAACATGGGGACCCCTCATTTTTATTTCAAAATTCAAGTTCCTATAAGATAAACAATCAATAGGCAAAGTTTCACAAAAATCTCAGGGCAGGTTCTATTTCAGTGGAATGACCTTAAAGCTCTTTTCAGGGCTCATGAAAAGTCCCGTCTGGTTATCTGGGACAAGTTGATTTTCCTGTGGGGCAAGTAACTTTTCATGTCCACATGCCCAATGGACAGAGGCCCAGGAAAGTCATTTTCTAATCAAGTCATAAACAAGGGAAACAAAAACAAACATGCACTTGCCCCAGGCAAGTGACATATGAGAGTTACTTGTCTGAAGGGCAAGCTCAAATTCAAATTTTTTCAAGCTCTGCTATTGAAACCTCAGCCATAATAATTCAGCACCAAGATGTTTTGAAGCAGCTGAGGAGGGGGTGGGTGGGTTGGGGTTACTATACCATGGGGG